CTGCCACAGAAAGATGTGAAAACCTGCCCCTCGCACGAAAACTGCACGGCCTGATGTGCATCAGCATCCGCCATACTTCCGGACAAATGGAACGGCAGGACATTAGCAAACATCTCGTACATCACGCATCCCATGCTCCATCTCGGCTGGTGCCATCGACTCCCAAGAGAATTCGAAAGTCAAGCAAAGAACTGACCTCTCTCTTTGGTTTATTGCTTGAGGCCCTTGCATGTCTGACTTTGCACTGCAATTGCCCTGCAAGCACTCTGGAGACATTGTCGCCGGTGTTCCAGCAACCCTCAGAATCCAGGAGAGACACACCCAGCATCAACCAACAGCCAAGCAAGCTGCAAAGGCAACCATGCAGTAAGGGTGCACGTCTACTGCTTCATCCAGCTGGTCAAACGAAAGTTGCGGTGCTGCGCGTCTGTAGGATGTGCTTTGAGCAGACTCGCAACGCTTGGATATGCCGGGACGACCGAACAGTTGAAAGCACCACTCGAGATCCTGTCCTCCCCCCAGTCTCGCCGAGGAGCTTTGTGCCACGTGCAACGAAGGGACTCGACAGACCCCGCACGCAAATCTCGGCAGTGCCAAAGTCGCTAACTACAACCTGAGCCAGCGAACACTCCAGTCAACAATCTCCAGCCATCTTAAGCCATGCAACATGAGGAGGCCGACCAAATGCCCGGCCATCTTCTGACACCTCGGCTTGGCCACGTTACCAAAATCATTTCAGGACTGCAGAAAGCGGCATCGAATGTACATCGCACAAGGTGAACTTGAAAATGCGAGGGGCGATGCTTCGCAGCAGCAAAAGGTTTTCGACTTTCAAGTCTTTGTGCACGATGCCCTTGCTGTGCAGATATACGAGGGCCTGTCACGGGAGCCATGCCTGGGAGTACTTCGAAGCCATGCAGCAAAGAAGGTACATGGACCTGAAAGGGCTGGCGAAGTGCGCACGCAGCCCACGACTCCTGCCGGGAACTGCAGCAGCCTAGCAGCCTGCATACAATGTCAAACAAGTCTTTGGAAGGATGCCGAAGTTCCCTCGATCCTCAAGGACAGCACCCCTCGCTCTGCCCTTGCGGATGGCGCTCAAAAGCTCGCCGCCCTCACAGAACTGGCAGATCAGCGTTGCCTCGAGACAAATGTACAACATCGCAAAGGCATCAGGATTTCAATTCCCGGCAGCGATAGCCTGATCGCCATTCTCGAACCATTCAAAAAGTCTAAGGATGTACCTTATGTTTGCCAGCATGTCAGCACGACGCTTCACTGCGCATGCTCAAGCCGATCAGAATGGGCATGCTGCAGTCTTGCTTACATCCCCATTACTGCAAGACAGGGCGCGGATGATCTGCATTCTGCATGACCATTCCTCCACCAGGACTGTGTGGGACGAATGTGTCTGAACAGCCATCACAAATTAAATTTTCCATGTTCTCACCGCACCCTGTTCGAGATGGTTTTGTTCGAAGTCTGCAGGAGCTTACAGAAGCTATCGCTTTACTAAACATCGTGGGGACATCTGCACAACAACACAGAAGCGGGTCTTGTCAGAAAGGCTGCATGGCTTCAACACTGGAGGCTACTGCGCGACCTGCTACACCGACTGAGCACGACCAGGGCAGCCCTGCCTTCCATCCGGAATCGTTCGCGCCCCCATCCTTCGGGCCTGCGACCACTCTCGGGCTGGGCATCTGAGAAAGTTCGCAGGCGAAGCACCAGCCTTGCGATGGATTTGGAGGCCTCGGTCAGCAGATCGCAAAAACCAGAGCGCGCATGCACGCAAGCACACACACACACTCAACGATGACGATGACAGTAACGATGATGATGATGAAGAAGAAAACGGAGCTGCATCGGCATCAAAAATCGTCTGGCTCGTTTGGCTAGATTAGATAATTTAGCAAGTTTAGCTGGTCTACTTACTTGGCTTTTTGTTCGCCAAGTCCGTTGTGGCAGTAGCAGTAGTAGTAGTAGCAGCAGCAGCAGGAGTGGTAGTAGTAGTAGTAGCAGCAGCAGCAGAAGTGGTAGTGGTAGTGGTAGTGGTAGTGGTAGTGGTAGTGGTAGTGGTAGTGGTAGTGGTAGTGGTAGTGGTAGTGGTAGTGGTAGTGGTAGTGGTAGTGGTAGTGGTAGTAGTAGTAGTAGTAGTAGTAGTAGTAGTAGTAGTAGAAGTAGTAGTAGTAGTAGTAGAAGCAGTAGCAGTAGCAGTAGCAGTAGTAGTAGTAGTAGTAGTAGCAATAAGAATAGTAGTAGTAATAGTAGTAGCTACTACTACTACTACTACCACTACTACCACTACTACTACTTCTACTGCTACTACTACTGCTACTGCTATTGCTACTGCTACTGCTACTACTACTGCTAACTACTACTACTACTACTACTACTACTACTACTACTACTACTACTACTACTACTACTACTACTACTACCACTACTACTACTACTACTACTACTACTACTACTACTACTACTACTACTACTACTACTACTACACTACTACTACAACCACTACACTACCACTACACTACCACTACTACTACTACTACTACTACTACTACTACTACTACTACTACTACTACTACTACTACTACTACTACTACTACTACCTACTACTACTACTACTACTACTACTACTACTACTACTACTACTACTACTACTACTACTACTACTACTACTACTACTACTACTACTACATGGCCGCGGACGTCGTAGACCGTCGTCGTCGTTCTTCTCGTTGTCGCCGCTGTCAGTTGATGAAGAAGATGAGGATGATTATGATCATCATTACTCCTCTTACACTTAATTGTGCAAGTCATCAGCTTTCGTGGCGAATGGCTTTCTACGGACGCAGTGGAGCTACTTTCAACAACTCAGTTCTAGGCCTTCTTCTGCTGTGTCGTCCTCTCGCAGACCAAGTGGACAGAGCCGTAAGATCCTCGCGGACTGCTTAAATGCGACGGGCTACTGGCACGGACAAGCTGTGGTGCTGCGCCGCCTTGCCCGAGTAATTGACGAGTCTCATATCTTCTCTCGATTTCATAATGACCTGTGACGCACGCTCTTAGTCCCAACCGCTTCGCTAAGGCGTACGGTCGGGGTGCATGAAACTCTGTCGAGTTGCTGATCTCGTGAACCAGCTGGCTTCGAAAGTTGGTTGGAACTTCCGGGACGTGATCGCGACCCTGCGAAGAGGTCGGCAGCCGGAAAGAGCTCCTGGAAGGAGACATCTGGGCTTCTACTTTCGTCGAAGGCTTTCCAGGACGTGCAGGCTCCTCCGAAACCAGGGCATGCTCCGTCATCGAAGAGCCTTTCAATGCGCTCTGCAAACCCTGCTGTGACAAATCTTGATGCCCACGCACAATTCCCGCCTTTGGAGTGCACATGAAGGCTCTCCAATCAGCCCCTCAATGATGAGCCCGCCTTTGAGCCTGTAATAAGAGCTGACACCCGGCACACCCAGATCCATGGTACGAGTCGCTGGGATTAAGCTTTCGGCGAGCGGTGACAAGCACATGCAAAACGCTCCGAACCCAGCAAGTTTGGCCGTTTCTGCCCACTACGATGCCTTCTGCGCTTGCATGCATGCATGACAAACCGATGAGTGCTTCATCAGCTTGTCGGAAAACCGTGCGATGTTCACACTGCCTTGACAGTGGACGAGCATTTTCGCTACGAGCCCAACTGTGAAAGTGCATGCATGCACGACGCAGGTAGTGTTGTTTCGAAGCAGCTCGCAACGCACGCACATTCGCGGACGCTGCACTATATTGCAATGCCCAACTTGCGCTCCAGCTGGCTCCTGCATTGCACAGAGCTGACCACGACTCCATTGCTACTGCATCCAGCCTCTTATGATCATCCATTGAGCGCTTCTGTCGGTCTATGTGCTCCGCTTTGATGACGTCGACATTCTCTCCCTTGGAAAGAGGCAGCAAGGGCAACATAAGCGACAGAATACCGACCCATAAAGCACGCGTATAGCTAGCCTGATTTTCCCAGTACACTCTGCCATGAACCAGCTCGGGTCCAATCACGGTAGCTGCAGCCTTTCTGATCATGTTGGGCCTCGACTCGTGAGCCCTGAAAGTCAGAGCCTGAACAACGGACCAGAAGATTCTGCAGCAACAGTAACCAACACAAACCAGGAGGAATAATCAAGGCAGGAGCTACTACATCTGGCCTGGCACAGCAAGAGTTGGCGGCGCTGTGCGGCTTTTGTGCAGTGCGCGTGGCCCAGCAAGAGTTCGAAATGGAGTTGTTTCCGCCATCGCTGAAGCTCGGGATACGGTTTAGGTATCGCTCATAGGTGCGGCTTCTCAAGAGCTGCCCGAAAATCTACGATGACCATGACTGCCTCCCCTTTACTCATACTGAAGGCAGGGGGAAAGACTGCCGAAGCTGAGGATACATTGACAGACCAGCCGTCCACGACGGCTGCTATAGTCTTTTCACGGAAACACGCGGCAGAAACAACGACAACACCAAGCAAGAGAAGGAACAACACCAAAAAATGCAGACGGCACATGGAAATACTGAAAGAGCAACAACGAAACTAGCAAAGCAAAAATCGACAAGCAGACAGCAAGGAGCGAAAGGGAAACAAGCAAAAGCCAAAATAGTAAGCAAAGGAAAGGAGGCGGGACAGCAACACAACCTAGAAGCTCGCATCTCACTTTTGCTGCCCTTCGCATGGGAGTCTTTCCACTGGCAGCTCGCTGGGCTAAAGACCTGCATTGCAGGCGCCAGGAATCAGACATCTGGCTCATCCAGCTATGCCGCGGCAGATCGTTTCCCGCCAGCAGCCAAGGGTGGGAGGGTGGGGCTGCTAAAAGACTTGAAAGGAAGCAACGACCGACACTCGCTTCTAGTTGTCAGAAGCTCGCATCTCACTTTTGCTGCCCTTCGCATGGGAGTCTTTCCACTGGCAGCTCGCTGGGCTAAAGACCTGCATTGCAGGCGCCAGGAATCAGACATCTGGCTCATCCAGCTATTCCGCGGCAGATCGTTTCCCGAAACTCCCACCATTGTCTAGGCCAGTGATAGGCCGCTCGCCGGCAGAAAACATTGCAAACCAGGAGGAAGCTGGCACGCCCAGAGCTTTCCAGATCCTGACCTGCTTCAGGATACCCGTGAAGGCCTGTGCCAGGTGCATAATGCGCTGGCGAAGCTCCAAAGGTAAGGAAGAATAGTATAAGCTTGCCTGGACCTCCTGGATGTATATCTCCATAACGCGTTGGGAGGCCCAGCGCCCACGTCTGCGAACCAACTCGCTGTCCTCCGTTGTAGTCATCAGAAAAGTCGCGCCGCCCGGCCGGAAAGAACCCAGGTCAAGAGGTCGTTGATGCTGCCTGCTCGTGGGCAGGCCAATCCTTTCCAAGGCCAGGTCAAAGCGGCGCCGAAGAGTCTGAGGCGATCGGGCCCAAAGCCGGGAGCCGCTCTCCAGTGAAGAAAAAGCCAGGGCAATCACGTCAATGAGGTCCTGTTGTTCCACACGTGCAGACTGGTGCCTGGCCATTCTCATTCGGGTCTTGGGTTCTTCGATCCGAATAAGAAGGTGTTGCTGAGAAAAAAGGACGTCTGCCGGAAGCACCAAGTCCTTTCTCAAAGCAGAGGTTGCCTCACCAATCCTGAGCAGTCCGCCCCAACTTAGCGAGAAAAGCCCTGCCTCCCTTTCCCAGCCCCAGTACAAACATGTGCTGAGGAGGGCAAGGAGAATCACCGGAGGCATCGCGACATGATGAGTGCTCGGCTCCTTTGCCATCCAGCTGAAAGCTAGGTCCCATGCAGCTTGCAAGGAGCGGCGCAGGACGGGCCGCAGAGCAGCGACGCCGTTGATGGTCTCGGAGTAATGCCAGTATGGCCTGCCCGCCTCGAAAAGTTGGCGGCCGTAGCTGACCAACCACCAAGAAACAACCTCGGGATCCAGCGGCCGGTGGTTCAGCAGCTCTTCCAAAGAAAGCCCATTCGAGGAAAGCCAGGCACTGTAGGACTCAATGAGCTGCTGTCGGTTCTTCGAGGTCCTCTCCAAGACTGGCCTGCCTTCGCCGAGAACAACGCCACGGCGCGCCTCAGCTCGGCCAGCGTCGCGCCGGTCCCGAGGTCCAAGCCGCCCTCCATCAAATAACAGATTCACCGGCCCCTCGCCAGGAAAGCCAAGGGTACTGTCAAAGTCTTGCAAGGTGAGCGCCTGGTAGGGCACCGAGCTCGGGGCCGCGGGTGCACGGTTGGGCAAGGCATCCCTAAACCTAGAGGTGAGGGCCCTAACTAGGGAACCGCAGCAAGCACCAGGGCAGGAGCCAACGAGGAGAAGCGACAGCCGCAGCCAGCCAGAGGAGGCACGAGAAAGTCCAACGAGGCAACTGGCATGGTAGAGGTCGGAGGCCGCCAAGGAAGAGGAAATCGAAGACGGCACGGGGGCCCTGAGGTCGACCTCTCTGGTCGGATCGTCCGAGGAATTGTGCCGAGTGGGGCAGAAGTGCAGGCCTGCATACAGGCCAAATGCGACCTGGATCGCGCCTGACTTCTTGACGATAGGGAGGAGCTTCCTAGAGGAGGTCCGCCCCTTGGTCAAAGCACCCAAGGAAACAAAGGAATCCAGGCCGTGCACAAACCGGCAGTCTGTGCCTGGAGCGGCACGAGCCCTAAGGGCACACAGGAAGGCCTTGCTCTCATGCACGTTGATGTGCTCGCTCCCACGCCAAGGCCAGGAGTGAGTCACCTGCCAGCGGGAAGCAACCATGACGTCATTGAACAGGAGGCCTTCAAGGCCTGCCCTAGGGGCTACAGAAGATCTGCTCACAGACAGCAGGTCAGCGACAAGAGCTGCAAAGCCAGCACGAACCCGCAAAGGGAGGACGTCGGAGGGACTGGTCGCAGCGAGAGAGGAGATGGAAAACGCGATCTCATGGGCATTCGGGGCAGCAACCAGGACAACAGCAAGGGGAAGTCCGAGCGCCGAAAGCGTCACAGGCTCCAAGGGTGGCCTCAGCGGCACCACGCCGGCTCACCAAAGACCTCCACCCGGCAAGGCCCCTGGCGAAACTCTGCAAAGGGTGGAGGAGGAAAGCAAAGGCACCACAGCGAAGCGCCACAAGGAGGACGCAAAGTGACGCATTGAGGATGGCATTCTCAAGCCTCACGCGGGGGAGGCCAACTTGCTCGCAAGGAGGATCCCAAGAACGCAGGCGGGGCTTGAAAGCGGGAGAGAAGGAGCCAACTGGAGGCACGATCAGAACTGCACGCAAGCGCCTCTCTTGAAGGAGGTGCAGGATCCACTCAAGGCAGCGGGAGTAGGAAGGGCGAGGCCCGGAAATCCACAACGGGGCCGACCTGCAGCGCTCCAGAAAGGTCACCAGAAAGCCAGCCACCGCCACAGCGCACCTCGAGGAAGTCGTACCTGCCTGCTATGGGCCTCTCCGGGCTAGGGGCATCCAAGACCGGGTCGGGATCACAAGGTGGGTCGGGATCACAAGGTGGGTCCTGGGCGAGCTTGGTGTACCAGCCCTTCTGGTCAGCAGACAGCCAGAGGTGCTCGACAACAGCGGGCCGCACAGCAGCCGTGCACACAGCACCACGGGAGGACGAGGAGTCCGAGCAACCGACCACATCACTAACCGGAGCCGAAACGTTCGAGACCATAGCAGGCGCCGGCAAGCAAGGAGCACAAGATCCTGGCGAGCAGCCGAAGGCAGTGGTCTCAGCAGGGACCCAGAAGCGGCAGCCTCCTTCTTTCCAAGAGCAAACAAGGGGCCGATGGCAGCCATGAGAGGCCGACGGTACAGGAGAGCAGTGACCCATGACCCTGCCAAAATGGAGGCAAGCTCCTCAGACACATGCCTGCCAGAGGCAACGAGCAGCGAAGCCTGGGCGAGCGCAAGGCGGCGCGGGGCCGGCAACCCCACAAGAGTGAGCCCGGCCCTGACGGTTTCGGAAGAACTGTCTACCTGGGCACCAGCAACAGTGAAAACTCGCTCTGAGAAGAGGTCCTTCTGATCGGAGCCGGGGACCTGCTCAGCAGCATATGCCTCCTTAGCCTTGCGCACCAAGGCCTCACCGGCGGAGGGACCACCCGCATCGTAAGCCCCAGGGCCGTCGACCCTCTCGCAAGAAATTGAAAAGAGGTCGTCAATTATGAGCCCAGACCAGGGCCCCTCACGAGAGACCGGACAACGGTTCAGAAGCCTGCCCTCAGGCGGATCCCCGAGCACGCCCCACGACCTTAAAAGACCCTCGTGCCCGGAACAAGCAAACTCGACACCGGCATGGTCACCTTGAAGCAAGCTGCGGAAGGTCCCGTGCACAGGCAATGCAGCAGAGGCTAGAACCGATGAGGGGCGAAAGGCTGGAGCAGAAAGTCGGTCCGCTCCGGGCCGAGTTGCAAAGTTCCTGTCGGCCTGGGCCAGAAAGTCAACGAGGGCCTGCGCACCGTAAAAATCCTTCAGGCAGAAAACCGGCCCAATCGCATTCGAGCGGGCCCGAGGCTCTGAAATACAGGCCTGATGGTAAAAATCCCGGCGGTCCACGCAAGACCCAAAGAGGCCATGCCTAGAGGACGAAACGCACTCTAAAAAGACCCCGGTGGTCAAAAAGACAGCTAAATTCATATTGGTTCGGTTTTTAAGAGACAATTGAGGAATATATCGATCATATTGAGGAATATAAGAAACATTCAAGTGCAGCGTCGTTTAAATTCATATTGGCTCGTTTGTTAGCCTTCAACTAATTATCGGCGTCGCTTATTTTCACTTCGTCTCTTGTGGTAAGAAGGTATACCATGCACATGACTTGATTTGTATTTCTTTTGGCGCTACTACTACTACTACTACTACTACTACTACACTGACTACTACTAACTAGCTACTAACTACTACTACTACTACTACTACTTACTACTACTACTACTACTACTACTACTACTACTACTACTACTACTACTACTACTACTACTAATTACTCTCTACTACATACTACTTACTACTACTACTAACTACTACTACTACTACTACTACTACTACTACTACTACTACTACTACTACTACTACTACTACACGACTATACTATACTACTACTACTTTGACTACTACTACTACTACTACTACTACTACATACTACTACTACTACTACTACTACTACTACTACTACTACTACTACTACTACTACTACTACTACTACTACTACTACTATACTACTATGTATTTTTGACATGGCTTGACTTGCTGGGCATGGCTTGAGTTGCTTTGGCATGCCTTGACTGCGAATATAGTAGATATATATCTATCCTAAGATCGCAAACTCTATATACCCAATACACAGAGCAATCCATGCCATGACAAGCAGTAACAACTTGCAACACAAATGGAAACATGCCATGGCACATGCAGACTGCTACATTGGCATGGCTTGACTTGCAAAAAAGGTGCAGGCAGCAAGCTTGCAACATTTTCAGAACCCTAGCTCCTCGAAAGCGGTCTTGCAGTTGATGAGACTTCTCTGCAAAATGGTGAGACTGCAGCTACCGTAGTGCAAGACTCTTTGGACTCGCAGGAACTTCTTCACGTAGTCCTGGCAGCATGAATGTTTGCAATTCGGGCTACAGGCTTACAGTGCATGCACTGTCCTCGTCCATCCAGCAGCTGTAAAAGGCCGGGTTCTCGCGAGACTCCGACAGCTCAAGAAACTGGATCATGTGTTGCAAGGCATGCCCCTTCGGCCTTACCTTTGCTAAAAAGACAAGCGACCTGTCCACACCCTGCTTGGCCAAGCGAAACCACTGCTTAACCAACAAGTGACCCGAGGATACGACGTCGACCCACTCGTTGTGGGTGAAATACCTACCCGCTCGCACCATGGTACCTATACAGGTCTCGGCATGTTGCACAATCTCTCGCAATTCAGGTAGTGGCCACACCAAGTCATGATTCAAGTTCTGGAAAAGCCATGCCAACCATGCCATGATGACAGCTGTGTCCGAAGCTTTGCAGTGGATTCCCTCGGTTCGCACGTATGCGTAGAGGAAATTTCAATCGCGACAAGTCCGAACGAAACTAAAATAACTCAACGGGATATTAATTACTTAAGATCGTGCAAGGCTCGGGGCAGGCATCGCTGTACCAATGCACATTCTCCTTCGTAAACCTTTTGATGGCCAATGTTTTGTTGTGTTCTCGAGCCCAGGATCTCAAGGATTGATATGCCGATTGGAGCCTCTCACCGATCTTGCTACCAACAAAAATTTTGGCTTTCGTGAGCTCCTTAATGCACGTGCCGGCGATATCTCTGCCACACCCCAAATGCCAAACGTGCATCAGGTCGAAGACAACCATCTCCAGGCGAAAATACTTGATCCGCATTATACTAGGGAACACCTGCCAAGGTGCAGAAGAGAAAAGTGTGTTTGCCCACGGGGCATCCTCTCGGACATTCGTGAAGAGCATGTGCGTTTTCCCGGCATGACAAAATGGGCATATCATGTCGGAGCTCGGCGATCTAACCAGGTTCAGTGCCTGCACTAGCCATTTCCAGTCGCCCTTCAGCGTTACTAGCCTGGCAAAAAAATGTCCATGCTTCGTTGTGAAGCCCTCGCTAAGCAGCTTGTTGAAGTCCGAGGAAATTTTTTCCAACAACATGTCCAGCGACATGTTGACATTGGTGTCGGGATCTTTCACATAACCTTCCACGGGGAAAGAGAAAAGAGGGTACCTGCTCGCCTGTGACAGACTTCGCACATCAGGAGGGCCAAGGGCTGATTGCAAAGTCACCAGGAGCCAAGAGTTAGACCTCAGGGTACCCTCATCCCCCCACAATTGTAGCGGTATGATTCTCTCCAGCGGCCAGCTGTCGTCGTGGAATTCGTCGAGGGGGTGGTCTTTGAGCCACGTTTTCCAGAAATCCTTTATCTCACTGGGGCTTGGTACTAAGGCATCTCGATGGTCCATCATCAACTTTTCCAACCACTCTATCGGACTTATATATGGCCAGGACTGGTACTCGATCTGCCCAGCATGCACATGCACAGGCGTGACGACATACTGAGCCAAGCAGGGGATCGCCATCTTCGCCTTTTTGGCTTTTGCGAAAAGCTCATCATCTCGAAGAGGTCTCGACGGAAATCCCCTTAGGCAAATCAAGCACATGTTTAACCATCCATGCATCAAGACAATTTAAACGTACATGCCATGGCAAGTTCCCCACCAAGAAACCCCAAAAGATCCGAATCCAAGTGGGCCAAGACTTCTGCAGAAGCCGTCAGCGTGGATCTTCCGGCTGCAACCTGTTGAAGCAGCCTAGCAGCAAAGCATGCCAATAGATACAACAAAGATGGATCGATACTCATCCGGGCGTGGGACTTCTTGGCCGTTTTGTCAGCATCACTGACATGGTCCGAACAAGTACCTGTGGGCTTGAAAGGAATTTCTGAAGCTTTTTAAGGTCTAAGGGAATTAATATATATGGAATTGCTAATCTTTTTAAGGTTATAGGGTTTGGGGAATTAACCAAAACCATATGGAACTTACGATCTTTTTTGCCAAAAGACATATGGAATTGCTAATATTTTTAAGGTTTTTGGGTTTGGGGAATGTACCAAAACCATATGGAACTTACGATCTTTTACGGCAAAGGACATATGGGATTGAAGATCTTTTTTGCGGTTCGCGATTCGCAGCAGCGGTGCGGTGCACCACAACTAAGCAAAAGTCAAAATTTCAGGATGCTAGCTCTTGCTAGTGGTTCGCCGATCGATCAGGACTGCTTTTTCATGGCCGTGATGGCTCCTCGCATGCTTCCTCGTGCAATGTTGAACTGAATGACCGCCTCAATGCAATCGTCGCGAATGCTGTCGATGTCGTCGAGAGGTGTTCGCTTCAGCCTTACATATAATTAATTAAGTCTCGGTGCATGAGGCTCTCTCGTTCCTATATGCTATATATCTATCGCACATATGCACAAGCGACTTCTGGAATGCGGACCGCATGTCTGCTGTGGCTTTCTCGAAAGCATCCTGGACACGATCTTAAGGCGGAAGGCTTAAGGTTTCAAGCGTGGGGTCAAAGCGGGTTTATCAAGATCCATGCCATGCCATGCCACAAACATACACATGCAAGCAAGCCAAAGCAACAAACAAAAGTCCTTGACACCTGGCTCAATCCTTTCGGGAGCATCTTGGCGGATGCCTTCGGCGCTGATCAACTCCTTGCGGAGCTCGCTGCCTGAACTTAATTATAACAAGCCTGGGACCCGAAAAGTTGCTTTTAAAACTCTACAACGATTCTACCATGCAATCTCCCAAACACTAGGCCATGAACTCCACTTCTCTTTTCTTTCTTCTTTGGTGGCCCATGGGGTATCCCACACACTGATTTTCTTGACCTTTGCCTTCTTACCGCCGGGCTTATTCGAGGGCTTGTCTGGCAAGGCCAGCTGGGGGGTAGACGAGGGCTTGTTCTTCCCGCGATTGGGCTTCGGCTCGGGCTTCTGCTTTTCGTCGCTGTCATCGTCATCATCGACCGTCTCTGTGCGATCAGACTTCTTGCCGAAAGCAGGCTTGTTCGCGAGGTGGACCTGCATCGCCTCCTGAATGTCCATATTGGAGCGGGATCGGACTTCGGACCTCGACCATGCATGGTGGGGAACATACCAAAAACCATATGGAATTGATGATCTTTTTATGGTTTAGGGTTATTGGGGAATGTTCGCCAAAAGACCTATGGAAGTCACGATCTTTTCAGGAGGCTTAGGGTTTAGGGGACATAATCACACACATGTCAACTCACATGTCAAACTCCATGCGTGCTATAGGGGCTGGTTCTTCTTGTAGTCTTCGGCTTCCATCATGACATTGACCCAATACTTTAGTGGACCACCTGGAAAGTCTTCGTCCTCGATGCCTTTTCTGTTCTGTGCGATCCACTCACACTTCTCCTTGGGGAAGAAGTACGGCTTCTTTCTCATCTGGCGGAGGGTCAAGCACACCCTGACCTTTCTGCTACCAGTGCCTTGGGTACTCGTGACTTGCAGCTCGCTTTCGACCTGATTGGGGTCTTTGGAGAGCACATACTTCCGAAGTAGCTCGTTCTTTTTCTTTCTATCGGCAGTAGACCACACCGAAGCCAGGCATGGGAACTCGCCGCTCTCCGCAAGCTGCGACAGCTTGTTCCAGCTTGAGCGGTGCGTGGCCGAAGTGATCTTCTCATCCTTCTTTTCATGCAGGACCATCGCGGTTGACGGTACGGGATCTTCGGCGACTTTCTCCGGCACCTCCTTCGCGGTTGACGGTACGGGATCTTTGGCGACTTTCTCCGGCACCTCCTCGAGCTGATCAGACGAGTGCGAAGACTCATAATCACTTCTCAACCCTCCCCACAGTGGCAACTTACTTGAAGGTACCACCATGTGATACCAGTCGCTCTCAGGAATGAAGTCCTCCGGATCCCAAGCCTCTCCATCGACCTCGCCTTCGTCTTCCTCCTGCTGACTGATCTTGATGAGCCTGCATTCCTCTCGCCATGCCTCCCATTCGGCCTGCACCTCATCATCCCATTCGAGATCCTGTGCCCCTGGCACCGTATCCTCGGCATCCCACTCCTGGGTGTCCATTTGATCAATGGAAACCTTTGCAGCCTTATTTTCCTTTGCTTTCTCCTTCTTTGCCTTCTTGGTCTTTTTGTTGCTTGTTGCTGGCACTGCATCATGCTCCTCCTCTTTCTCCTCCTCCTTGGGTTGCTTTTGCTTCTTGTTCTTCTTCTTTTGATTCTCATGAACATGCCCTTCATATACCCATGCACCGTCACGATCTACAGCAGATCGCTTGATCCCCGAGCTCCCCGCCGGAGTTGACTTTTCTCGGACCCTCCTAGGAGGTGTCAGCTTCGAAGCACCTTTCCACAGCTTCGGCCTAGGTGGCAATTATACCGATCAATTCAATGTGCATGCGGCTAGTACAATTCGTGTCTAGAGGCTCCTTCTTTGGCGGCTCGAGGCAAAACTTAGCCTCCTCATAGGACAGCTTTGCTGTCTTCATTAAGGCTTTGATTTCTTTCTCCATTATGATGGGCTACGACCTAGCGACTTAAAAGCCTGCAGCCAAAAACCTATACACAGCAACGTACATGCAACAGCAAGACATGCCAAGCTCAAGACATGGTTCATGCATGACATGCAATGCAAGCAGCACGTGGCTTTTGTACTCGATGCAGACCGATATTAGGGTTATTAAGGTTTAAGGGCTTATAGGGTTTATATTGTATAGTTTTATAATTATAATTTCATATCAAGTTATATAGTATAAAGGCTCATATAATATAGAGAGGATAATGGACAATCCAATATATTCTGGCGCACTACTCAGATAATGTGGGATACTAGCCGATTGTACGGGAAAATGAAGAGCGTATGGTGCATTCCTGCGCATTACCCAGAAAGGGCGATTTGTATGAATTTGCAGGGCATTTGTAGGAATTTACGGGGCATTTGAATGAATTTGCAGGGCATTTGTATCGGGGCGGGTTCGGGGAATTTACGGTGCGTACTGCGGGGAATGCGGGGGGTTAAAGAAAGCTAGCTGCGGCATCGCTATCTAGGGTCAGGCCCCTGCACCAATTGATCAGCTTGCACATGATGATATCACCTGGGATCAAAGCAAACAAGCATGCATCCAAACATTCATGACATGCACAACACGATATGAAGCAAGACCATACTGGCTTCGACCTGGGCGGGTGTTCTGCTTAAGGCATTTATAAAGCCCGAATTGATTATATATACTTATATATACCACTAATTATACTACAATATTTATTCCTAAGCACCTACACCCGGCTAGGTCCGGCTAGGTTCATCCCCTCCCATATATGGGTGCGGCTCCCAAAGCGAGGTTGAGGGTTCAGGGTTTAGGGTTCAGGTTTCAGGGTTTATAGGGTTCAAGCTTTAGGGTTCAGGGTTTAGGGTTCAGGGTTTGGGGGTCCCAATCCCAACCCCAACCCAATATCGTACCACTATACTATAACATTTATAAACCCAATCCCAACAAAACCCTGAAACCCTAAGCCCTTAAGCCCTATATAGCTGAGCACCTACACCCGGCTCAAAGCGAGGTTGAGGGTTCAGGGTTCAGGGTTTATAGGGTTCAAGGTTTAGGGTTCAGGGTTTAGGGTTCAGGGTTAGGGGTCCCAATCCCAACCACAACCCAATATCCCTATAGGACAAACCAACAAACCAATCAATCACAAACACCTTCGCTGAGATCCTCACCACGACCAGCTCGCATCGACCTGGGCAAGCGGTCCAATCCATGCAAAGCAAGCACAAACCATGCATGCAAGACAAGCTGCAAGACAATCAATCATGTGCAAGCATGGCAACCGACCAATCTTTTTCAATTAACTTGCAATAGTGTACACGGCTCTGATACGTACCTGTACAGGTTTGGCCGATCCAGCCACAGATCAAAATCTGAAGTGCAGGATCATGTGGCTCCATTGGTGTGCATGCGAGCGATTGCATGTTTTGCACTATAGCTCTATAGCTTTGCTTTTCTATTAACATACGACCCGGCCGGCCCATCAGCCCGAAGCACACACACACACACATGCAATGGGAGAGCATATATTATATCTAGATATTATAGCCCAGGAGCCCCAATCCCGCACTCCTAAGACCTACTGTCCCTCCTCCTCCTCCTCGATCTCGATCGCCTCCGGGATCGCCTCGATCTCGATCGCCTCCGGGATCGCCTCGATCTCGATCGCCGCCTTGATCTCGATCGCCGCCTCGATCTCGATCGCCGCCTCGATCTCGATCGCCTTGATCTCGATCGCCTCGATCTCGATCGCCTTGATCTCGATCGCCTTGATCTCGATCGCCTCGATCTCGATCGCCCCGATCTCGATCGCCTCGATCTCGATCGCCCCGATCTCGATCGTGATCGCCTCGATCCCTCGGCCTGCACAGCCTGCTCCTCCTTCTCGATCTGCTGCCTCATCTGCTGAAACTGCCGTCTCAGCGTACTCGAGGTGATCGAGGCCTCGCTCTCGCTCTGCTCTGCACCTGCCGCTGAAGTTGCCTCTAGGCTTGCCTCTGGGCTCGAGGGCTCCGAGGCCCCAAAATCCTCATAGTCATCGGCGGCACATGCAGCGGCCTGCAACAAATCAAGCCAAGGCAAAACACGACAACTGCAAGTTAAGGAGCTATAAAGCCTATAAACCCCAAACCCTATAAACCCTAAACCCTGAATACCTCTAGATACATGTGGTCTGCCTCTGACGACAAGGACTCCACAGAGCTTGCAGCATCGAGCTCGGGGGGCTCAGTTGCAGGCGGAGGCAGTGGAGGCGGCGACGACGGTGCAGGCCCAAAGCCATATAAATGCATCGGCGGAGGCATCGGCGGAGTCTTCGGTGCAAGCTTCGGCAGTGCCTGCTCAATATATCAATCCAATCCAAGCAGGTCAAGACAATCATTGGGTTATTTCGGGTGGCGGTTTATTTTAGGGCCCATGGTGTTTATACACCAAAACACACAGCCTCCGGCCCGGGATTCACGAGCTCTGCAGGCTTCGGCAGAACCACGGGAGGCATACCATCTGCCTAGCAAGCTCAATACCAATCCAAGCCCAAGCATGCCAATACCATGTGAGGTTTGGGTTGTCGCGGTCTATTTAGGGTATTGGTGTTTTTTGCAAAAGACACATGCACAGCCTTGCCCATGGGCTCCACGGCAGCTGCTGTAGCTGCCACCTGCAAACACAAGAAATCAAGCAAGGCAACTCATGCTCATGCGAAGTTTTGGCGGCCTGGCCTTAAAGTCTGCAGGGGCTAGAGGCCTAGCAGGAGGCGGTACCATAAGGGGACTTCGAGGAGGCACCGGCGGAGGTTTCGGGATCGATGCCAAGTCGACCACCGGCACTGGCGGGGGCCGCGGTGGCAGGATCGCTGTCGAAGGTCTGGTCGACGAAAGCTTAGGCGGTGGAGGGAACCGCAGGTGGCTAGGCCATTGATCGGCATGCCCTTCGGACGGCATGGCTGTGCTATCTAGGGGTCTCGGCGCTTAAACTCGGACATTATACCTAAACCCTTATAAGGGTTTAGGGTTCATAGGTTGTGTCCTCGAATCGACTATTTAATGTATAGTTAGTATAGTGATCTAAACCCGAAAAGTAGCCCCTCGACCCCTCGAACACAAACCAGGCAAAAAGTGATGGCATGGCATGGTGCAAGTTGACATGAGCTGAACATGTTCATGCTTCAATAATGATTGCTCATATCATGGCAATATTTATATACCCAGCTGCAAAGTGCTAACAAGTTCATGCCAACATGTATCGACCAACACAAAGCTCGCCAGCCAAACTTCATCATGCCGACAACATGCATGCCAAGCCATGCACCAATGCTCAGGCTTCGATACCAAGAACGGATGCAATGAGAGCCGGACCCACCAAACCAGCTCGGGTCGATCCAAGTACCTGGCTGGGTGAAACTTAACACACCTATTCCAAACTCTAGCGACTCTACCACGACAGCGGCCTTCCTGCAGTGCTCCGATGTCCTCTGCAAAACCGCTCGAAATCTGAACAGATCTAGTGCCCCACGAATGCAGTCCTTCATCCTCGACGTCGTAGTCGAAGCAAGAAGCTACTCGGATTGGGATTCTGGGGTACTGGCTATTAAAAGTTGTAGGGTTTAAGGGCCCGAGGGTTTGGGAATGCGAGGAGGTTTAGAGTTGACAGCTCCTGCCCTGCACCATGCATGCAATCACACATGTGTGCCCAATTCACAGAATCGGCGCTTGCAAGCACAGTTCATGCAACAAGTCATGCCATGCCAAGTGGACTATTTTTTCCTGTGCGATTCGCAAACCCCGTGGACACAGGAACTACAATCGCATAGCCAGCGATACCCAGCCTTGCCCCCAGCCAGGCAGTGCTATGATACAAAAGCCCAGAACTGGCCTTATGCCAGAGCCCCAGCATTCCGTGGAGAACAGCCAGCACCCATCTCAAATCACTCAAGCTCATATAACCTGAAGCTTGCTTCATGGAGCCCGAAAAAAACACGAATCAGGCGAATCTGCGCCTCTTAAGCTCGTTCTCCGGGAGGTCCGAGAGCATGTTAGCTCGACGATTGGACAGCATCCATGCCTTACAGGCCTCGAGGTGCGTGAAACCTTTGGCCCTCTTCTTCTGCATAAAAGCATTGCGAGCATCTTTAAAGGTTCCAGGTTGATACGTGGACGATTCAACCGGTGGCTTTGCTTTGCTGGTCTTCTTTTTTTTCTCTTCGGGCTTCTTCTTCTCGGGGGTCTTCGAGTCCTTCTTCGAGCCCTTCTTCTTCTTCGGCTTGTACTGGGAGGAAGGGTAGAACGGCTCATCCTGAACTGCTTCATTATCCTCCTCATCCCTCAGCTTCTTGATCCAAGCACGATTGATTTTTTCCATACTGTAACCCTCGGCCTTCTTCTCCTTCATGAACTTCAAACGATCCTGCGAAACCTTGGTTTCGGCCTCAACCGGCTTCTGCTGGGTCAGCTTCATGAGGTCCTCCAAGGCACCCGAGGACGACGAGGATTCCTGGGACTCTCCACCATCTGAGAGATCCTGCGAAAAAGTTTACAAGTGGAATAACCCTAAATCAATGAGCCGCAGAAACATGCTGGCAGCTCCTCTCGTTTCCACCAAAACTCTTCGCACTCCTTTTTCATGGCCCTGATCTCTGAGCAATGGCTGGAATCTGCACGTCGCATGAGGATTCTCAGAGTGCTGGCCTTGCAACCGACACAGCTACATACACAGACCCACACACACACACACACGAAACACTGCAGAGCATGCCATGCAAGGTCAACATGCAAGCCAAGATCAATTAATACAGTTCAGTTGCTAGCTTGCGGGCTGCACTACCAACCTTGATCGCCCATTTCTGGGCCAAAGGGTTGGAGGACTCCATGCCGGAGGGGAACAGCTTCTTCTTCTGGTAGAGTTTCAGCAAGGCTTCGGCGATAACGAAAGCTGACATACGAGATTTAAAATCTGGACCCTGTTCCTGCATGCCATAACCACGAAGAGTGGCCACTGCGACCTAGGCGGGGATCCACTTAAGTGCTTTCAGGGGCCTCGTGCTGACCCATTATGCATATAGGTTCCTACACTTTCTTGACTTAATATTGCCCAATCCACCCGGGGATTTGCTTTGACGTCCTTTCTGGAGCAGTGGTCCTTGCACTTCAAGAGTTTGCCGGATTTGTCGCTCACCACCTGAAAGCCCGCCTGGGCGGTGGTAGTGCTGCCAGTAGTGGTAGCTAGTAATGGTATATAGTGATCCATACAACCAGGCCTGGCGGAAGAAGGGCAGTTCCTGCTTGTAGCTGTTGTACAGCAGGCCCACAAGGACCGAATGCTCCCCCTGACCCATATTCGAGGCCATCTTACAGGCCGAGTTGGCCTTGAGCAGTGCCATTGCACTCCGAAAGCCTGTGTACAGGATACGAAATTATATGCCAACATGCACTATGCACCCTGTCGCTGCCTTCCAGCTTTACATAGACCCCTGCAAGATCTCAAAGGGAGCTAACATGCTTGGACCTAGATGATGCAGAGGAGCCAGGATCGAGTCGCGATCATGCTGCTGCAATGCAAATCTCTGCAAGTACAGCGGGGCACTGTCAAACACGTCCTTGATAGCTAGCCTTCGCTTCGGCATGCGACCTGCACAGTTCCACTGCTCTGATAACCTACACTCCATATACGGAGTGAGCCTGCCTCGAGCTGGGACATGGCTCTGCCCAGCACAGCTTTGAGCCCAACATGGTGAAACCGTGCAAAGCATCTATCCATTGCTGCATGTCATACACGAACTTCAATTCAAGCCATGCCACTCAATTCAAGCCATGCCAATCAGTTCAAGCCATGCCAAGCAAGTCAAACCATGTCAAAAATACATAGTCAGTATAATAGTAGTAATATAGTACTAGTAGTAGCAGTAGTAGTAGTAGTAGTATAGTAGTAGTAGTAGTAGTAGTAGTAGTAGTAGTAGTAGTAGTAGTAGTAGTAGTAGTAGTAGTAGTAGCAGCAGCAAGCAAATCATGCCATGCCAAAGCAAGTCAAGTCATGCCAAATATGTATACTAATGCCTATATATATATATCATCATGATGGAAAATAAAGGACATTTCGTGTTTTCGCAGTCCATGAGTCAACAACAAGGAAAATAAAGTGCATTCCAAAATCTCAGATGTTCGGTCGTACTAGAGGAAATTAAGAAACATTCAGCGCCGCACATTTTCACTAGTTACCTTTCGGGGAATTATAAGAGACATTTCGTCCTCTAGGTGAGAGCGAGCTGGGCAAGAAAGGCGCACAAGTAAACTCCCACAGGGCAGCCGAGAGGACGGGCCGTTTGCGAGCCGGGCCTCCCGGTTGTTCATGTGACGCCGATCGCCTATCTGGCGATCTTGCTGCTCGTTCTTAAAGGCATCGAAAACCCTAGTAAGGCTTTCCCGGGGCAGTGGGCCCTCCACTAGGCCTAGTAGCCCAAGTTCGTCCCACTTACGAAAAAGGCCTAAAACCTGACGTGTGTCCTCATGCTCAAAGCTGGGGCCAGGGGGAGGCGAAGGCTCGAAAGAGCGGAGAACAAGAGGCTCCAAGTAAGGAAGCAGAAAATCAGGCCCAAGGTGGCTCTCAAGCGGCCAGGCGCCTGGAGGCATCGATGTCACGGTAGGGCGCAAGCTCAGCAGGTCCTCCCGGCAGGAGGGGCACAACGGCAGCACTAGGGCAGGGCCCGGCTCTGCCGCCTCCTTTTGCGTAGCCATCCAAATCCAGGCCCGAAGCCCGAATGAAAGCGACCAGTTCAGCATGTCGCGCTGCAAGCTGAAGGCCGCGTCGCCCAGAAGTGAGGGTAGTACCCCCAAGCCGGGCGCACGCCTTTATAAGCTCCCGCAGTCGAAGGAAGGCAGAGGTCTGCAAGCTCGACGGGGGCCTCCGCAGGCACACAGGTGGTATGTGCTTCCCATCAGCGTGTAAGAAGTTCAACGCCATCACCATGACATGAAGCACAACACTCACGAGATGGGGCAGCCTTCTCTTGGAAGGGCGCCTGCGGGACCGCTTCTGGAAAACACCTTCAGCCGGAAGGGGAAGCGGAAACAAGGCGGTAGCGACACCAAGGGAGGCATCGCGGCGCAAGGGCAGCGTGGTACGAAGAAAATGCCCGAAGGCAGTCCCACTTTTCAGGACCAGCCTCACCAAAGAAGAGGCCCAAACACAAAACCCGAATTCGCGGCCAGGGCGAAGAGGAGAGTCCTCGACAGGATGGCCCGCATGCACATGGTGGGGCGCCCCGGGCACGAGAACGCCCCCAGCAGAAATCACTTCGCCTGCGCGGCCCGCTTGGCCGCCCATGCCGCAGCCCTCTGCTGCTTCTTGGTGAGCGCCTCCTCGCCTGCCTTGGGACCTTTTGGCACCTCGGTCGGGGGCGGGCCTTGCGGAGCCTTCTTGGGAGGAGGCTGCACCTCGGCTCGCCTGGCAGTGATAACCTCGACTTCCTTCAGGAAGGAGAGCGCTATTGTCACCCATTTCTGCTCCGCCAGCGGCGAGAAAGCTTTTGCAGCCGGGCTGGGAGAGCCAGCAACGTCTTGGTAAAGGCTGCCGGGAGGATCGGCTTGCAGTGCCAGGATCCAGGCAAAAGTGAAGTCGCCGGAGTCGAGGTTGGCCTGCTCGATCATGAGCTGCAACAGTGCAATGGTGTCGGAGCAAGACTCGGGAGCGCCGCGGGCAAGCTGATCCCCCGCCAGGGCAACCATCCACGCCATTAGGCCTAGGCTCCTCTGCTTGCCGTAGTTTCCATAGCGCTCCAGGTACCGGATCATAGTGGGATGATCCGGAGTGATCAGCCCCGAGGGGTCCATCCTGCGGCAGGCGTTCTCTCTGATCCTTTTTGAGAAAGAGCCCGGCGCTGAAGGTCCTGTTGAAGCTTCTGGCGGCCGGCCGCGCCTCGGACCGCTGGCTCACGAGGCTGACCAGGGCTTGGCTCTGGGCAAGAACCGCGGAGGCCAAGGCCGAGGACTCTTGCGGCGGATCGCCTCCTCCAATGGTATCTGCAAGTTGCTGCTCCAAGTCGACCGCGGAAGAGGGCTGCTTCGGAGCCTGCCGAGTAGGAGGAGGGGGCCCGATCACATGAGAGAGCGCCTTCGGAACATGCTGGCTCGGAGGGAGAACCGTCGCAAGAGGAGCGGCAAGTCGAGAGGCCGGGACCTGTGCATGCACCTGTGCCTGTTCACCTGTGCCTAGACCTGGTGGGGGAGCGGCGGGGCCCTGAGCCAGGGAGTTGCTGCCCGCCGCCCCCTGCGGGAGGAGGTCTGCCAGCTGGTCGGCCAAACCACGCACGAGCTCTTGCAGGTTCGCCTGCTCTTGCGCCAAGGTGGCAACGGTATGCCTCTTTGCCTTTGGACCCTTTGGCCTGAGGGGAAGGAGATCCTCGACAGCCGTCTGGTACCCGGAACGGGCATCGTGCAGGAAAGCATCTGCCCACTCCTGAGTTTGCCGCAAAACGTCCGAAGCCAAAGGGAAAAGCCCGGGGTCCTCCTGCACAAAAGGGACCCCACCAAAAGCAGACAGGTCCGGCCGAGCGAAAGCTGAGGCGGCACTGGCAGGCATATCTATCACCATAGCAGGCACGGCGGCCTCGAGCTCCGCAGCGCTCCAATCCCCATTCTGGCCCAGCCTGACCGCCGGAGCCGTGAGCTCCAAGGAGGGGCCGAGCCCATCGGCACCGTCGTTTTGCTGGCCCTCCTGAACCACTGCCTCTGGGAGGAACCCACACGGGAGGCACACGATGAAGCCAGCGGCCCGCTTCATAAGCACGTAAGCAATGCATGTCTGTTCCTCCTCCTCCGGGTCAGGCGCCAGCGGCCAGCTAAACTCAAGCAGCTCCACAGCCCCTGCCTCCACAGCCGGGAGGGCACTGAACTCCATCAGTGCAGAGGGAACGAACGGCCGCTCCCGCAAAGTACAACCGGCACTCGCTCTCCGAGGGGAAAGCGTGCGACAAGGAGAACACAAGGCCGAGCGAGACCCTCAGCAGCGATTACGCAATAAACGATTGGCAATGCCAAGGGCCGGAGAGAAAGAAGGGGTCTCAACCTTCTGGTCCAGCACTGCACGGGCCCAGCACCCGGCCTCCCAAGCTCTTTGGGCACGTTCCTGCCAAGAAAGAAAGCTGCCGCGAAGGAGGCGACACTGATCCAGCAGCTCGGCAGGCAGAGGAGGGAAGCTGTCTCGCACCTCCGACCTAGGCCTCAGGGGGCCCTGCAATGGGTACTCTGGCACGCGCAAGGGCGAGGAAAGCAAAGACCTGAGCACTGGCCTTCGGGAGGCCGGCTGGCACGGAGAGGCACCTGAACCTTGACCTGAGGCAACCTGGAGGACCTGGCTGACGGTGGCCACTCAGGGGCCTGCAAGGGGTGCTCTGGCACACTCGGAGGTGAGGAAGGGGCAGACCTGGCCTGAAACCTGGTGGAAGGAGGAGTGGCAGGAATGCTCTCGCCCAAATCCAAGGCGGCACGGGGCCCGGAGGCCTGCAAGGGGTAAGGAGTACCGTGAAGAGAGGGAGCTGGGTACGTCGGAGCAGGCTCTGGCGAGCAAGGGGCCTCGACCAACTCAAAGGAGGAGGAGGAAGATGCAACGGAAGGGCCGGATGCGCAAGGTGCTGCTGCTTTGGAAGGGGCCTTAGTTTCCGAAATCCTATAACCACTTATTTCCAAACGAAGCTCACCGTCCATGCGCGTACTCCGCAAGCCGCCTGGAAGCACTCCCCGTCGAGGGCCTGGTAGGCCGAGGAGCCTGCGCCGGGACCACGAAGTTCACCTGTCTCAGTTGCCACCACGCGAAGCCAGTTCCCAGAGTAACCAGGACCCCAAGCAGAAAAGCGGCCGCCAGTCCGCCCAAGCCCAGACCACGGCAGTGACTGGGACACAAGAGGCCCCACCAATTTGACTCGGAGCCCTCTTGTAGAAGTCCCAAGACACTGCGTAGCAGCTGGAGGCCCATGAACCCTAACAGCTGCTAAAAGACTTGAGAGGAAGCAACGACTGACACTCGCTTCTAGTTGTCACCAACAGTAGCTCAGAAGGAATACCAAAAAGCAAAGTGATACTAGTTACAAACAGCCTCTCAAGTCAGAAGAATTCAGAAGACATCACAAAAGAAACCAGAAGCGTAAAGCAACAGCCGGAAGCAAAACGCAGGAAAGCACGGGGAGCCACTTTGAAGAAACCTGGTTCAGCAAAGGCGACCGACGCAAAAGGTGAAGCTGTTACCGTGATAGACGGTTCATGCAAAGCATCGAAGACTGTTTAAGATGCACAGGAAAACGACCCAGTTTTCGCTGTTCGCTAGTCCAGCGAACTCCACACACCAAGGCAAAGTTGCAGACAACCTTCACCCCAGCCTCAGACCGGTCACTTTCTAGACAAGGCCGGACTACATCTCCAAACAGCATAAACCCTGTGAGACAGGTTGAAACCCTAGAAATCCTTCTTTTGTCATTTTGCACTAGCAAGTGGAAGTGTTGAGGGCAGTGGCATTTCGCGCCAAACGCTCGCACCCTCGACTCTTTAGATTCTGTACCTGTGCTCGTGGTACTTGTAGTTCATGCTTGTCAGGAGCTTTGTTAACAACTTGTTCTCCCTGGAAGAGACCCCCCGTACACAAGTCCAGTTTGATGAAGCACCCCTGCAGCAAACCACAGCCAACGGCGCATCCCTGAGCGCCGAGCTCCCCGGGCCGGAGGCGGTCTCAGCGTGTCCAAGTTCGGCGGTGGCTCGTTATGCAATATCCAATGCCACAGAGCCTGCTAGCAGGCGCACAACTTTGCAGGTGAGAACCCAGTGTGTGGACACACGCACTCGCTGCGTTCAGTCGCCACCCGTCCTCACTTTGCATCAGCACCTGCGTCGCCAGTATGTGTTCAACATAACACAGATGATAGAGGTCAAAATCAGAAGGGGAGAGTGTAGAGAGGTGGAAACGCACTTCTTCACATCGCCTGGGTGCGCTGTTGCATTCGCAATGTCTTGGATTCGCCCTGCTTAACCTCGTTCACAGATGACTTTCTGCACCAGTCCAAACGTTGACACCACCGGCGCGAGCCTCCGCAAGGCAGAGCTTGGACAGACCAAAGGTCGTCACACTCAGGTACTCTAGCTGCCGATGTATGGTGTCCTGCAACTTGAGTCAAGTATGCATCCTACTGTCGCTCGTCTACGCTGCACGAGACAAGCAATCGGCTGAGACCGACTCACCGAAACCGGGACGCCCAGTTGTCCTGGAGCTTGGCCAGCTCGTCTGCATCGATTCGATTCGCCTGGGGCGTTTTTGTTCGAAGCTGGGGCAGTTATGGTTCCCTTCGAACTTTCCACATACGCGTCTCCGCCTTAAGCTGGTACATCTCGACTAGGTCAGCCTCGGGCGTTGGACACATAGCAGGGAAGAGTGGAGCTCTGCCCCTGGCACCTTGTCAGCCTTCAGGGCTACTTTCTGATTCAAGTCCTGGCATCAGAGATGTCAAGGCTTCGCCGCCCCCACGTATTGACGGTCGCGTGTCCTCAAACATTGGGCCATAGTCTGGGGGCCGGAATTCATCCAGCCGAGCGCTTTCTTGTTCAATGTACTCGTCAAACCTGCAGATGCACCCCCACGGCCTGAAGGCTCGCAACATTCGAAGGCGAAGGTGCCTTTTGTTGAATTTCTGCAACTTGTCGTACATGCCATGGAACTCTTTCATGGCAGCTTCCTGAGCTTGAAAGCTCTTCTCTTTGCCAGCCCAGCTCCCCTCTGCCTTACGAGTAACTGCAAGGGATTCAGGGCCCCTACCTTCTGCAAGCACTGCTCGATTCGCGAGTTGATGATGACGATGTCGTATTTCCCCGCCTCTGCTGGATGGCTCCAAGACTAAACCTGGCCGCAAGGATTTAGGGCCCGGCCTTGTCCAGGAGAACCTCATCCACCCGTTGAATGGCATCATCCTGCATATCAAGTGAGAGCACGTTTCAGAAAGGGAAACCACAGAAGAAGGCTTCTTCCCTTCCCGCACAGGGCTCTCGTGTCCTGCTGCCCTAGTCGCCGATCGAACGCCTCGATGGACGCCACGCAGAACTTCAGCTTGGGCACACAGTCCTGCGAGAACGTTGGCAGCCAGAGGCCGTTCATCGAGACGACGCTTCACAGCACTCCTGCTGAAATGCATCAGTTTCCTTTCGAAGCGCATAGTTCCTTTCAGAGGTCAAGTTCAGCTCGTTCTGGTCTAGGCAGCTTGCGCTGAACGTGTCATCCAGCAAACTCCCTTCAAACCCTTAGTGCGTGACTGAAGACTGTTCTTCGTCTGCTGCAAGTCATCATACATTGCCTGACAAGAAATCAAGAAGAGTAGCCCCTGCAATGGCTTGGGAAGCACGGCAAGCACCAGCAGCCACACGACCCCCGAGCGACTGACCCTTTGTTGAAGATCGTTGGCCAACTCCGAATACATGGAGGTGATGCGGTCGGATAGGCCTGGCGATGTCTCGATGTCTCGAGAGACCACGAGCTCACAAGTTACATTCAGCACCTCGCAACTGATCATTGTTGGAGGCATACACCTGGTCAAACCTCGGAGGGCTGAACAGACAGCACAAAGCCCTGCAGACTCCCAGAATGGAAGACTTGCTGTCGTACACTAAAGACTGCTCTTTGATGTGGACGGCCAGCTCTTCTATCTGCGGGGCATGTCTGTCACTGTCTGTCAACACGGTGGCATGTGGGAATTATGAGGCAGGTCGTGGCGCACCCTCATCGTGGTTTGAGCAACTTTTGCATAGTTCTGCAGCTCATCGCCAACCCAGTCGCGAACTTCCTCGTCAGCAGCGCCCTACTAACCCACTGCCGTGCAACGGGCAAAACGGTAAGCAGCGTCCTGCAGCTGCTGCTCCAGCTTTGCTGTCCGGGTGTAGTCATCGAAGCGAGTGGAGAGCACCTTGCTTCTTGGTATGACCGCTGGACATCAGATGCTGACGGAAGTCTTGAGCTCCTGGCTTTCATGTTCTCTGCTATCCGCTCCGCAACATCAAGGGTGGCATAGTCACTGCAGCAGAACTTCTGTGGGCATTTCTGGATGAGACGGTGTTTAAACTCTCCTTCTCTTACAGCCCACCTCAGGGCGTTGAGGATTTGCTGGTGCTCCAGCTTTGTGGTGTACCCCGCAAACTTGGCCTCAACTGTCTTTCTCTGTTTTGAAGAGGTGCGATGTTGAAAGCCACAGCCGTAACCGGATCCCCGGATCACTGCGCCTCAAACATGTTCAGCTCCGCCAAAGACACTTTGTCCAGGAGAGCATCTTGGGTCTCGCGGATAAGACGGTCCTGGACAGCCTTCTCCTGCAGCGAACCGGCGGCAAGCCGCGGAAGGCAGCACGCCATCTGCATTGCATATCGCCGTATAAATCATACACCTGTCCTTGATGACCGTGTCGAGCTTTTTCTCCAATTGTGTCTGGGTTCCCTGCGGAGTTGAAGAGTTGTTCCCGTGATCTACATCGCTCCTCTGGGAGCTCTCCCGACCCATCACTTCAGCCCGGCCCTTCTTGGCCTTGAGTCTGTCGATCGCCTCCTCAGACGAAGTGACGTTCTCCTGAGCATGGGTGAAGTCACCGCTCTGCAACATCAGCTTCGCAGCCTCTTGCGCACCTTCGTGAGATACAGCTGCTCTTGCTGCTGCTCGATGCGCTGGTTCAGCTCCGTCACCACCTGCGGCGGAGTGCAGCGTGCCAGACGCAGCGTTCACGAATCGCCCCCGGAGCAGCACTCGGGTGCTTGCCTCGTCCAATCCGGTGATGGTTGCGCGCACCTGGCGAGCGCAGAAACGTGCCAGTTCGGCCCAGTGCTTCGCCAAAAGTTCTCTGCCATTCTCTGCCTCGAGCTCTCCTTTGAGGCTCTTAATCGTGGCATCGTTGCTTTCGTTATATGCCCTGGGATACACAGCTCTTTCCGACATGCCGCCGTTCTCCAGCCTTGCTTCAGCTCCAAAATGCCAAACAGCACTCTCGTCTCGGGATCAGGCTCCAGAGACTTGAACTTCCGGATGATGTGCCTTTCACGGCAGGCTTCGTAAGAATCGCTTTCGAGACCACAAGCCAGGCAGCGGGCTTGACGACATGCTCCAGGTTGGCGAATGAGATGAGGGAGCCGAGCTCCTCCAACTCATCCTGAAAGGCCCCCACACCAAAAGAGAAAAAGGCTGGAAACCTAAGCTGCCCCGCAGGGCCCCCTTCCCCCAGGTTCCTCCGTCTCGGCAGGTTCATCTTCATCCAGAAAACCTGCACTACGTGAAGTACAGGGTCTAGACTTGCCAGGTGAGCATCAGAAACTACGAGCCTATATCAGCCATCAAGGACCGGTGCGGCAGCTTTGGCAAAGTAGTTGTATCACATGCGCTGGGAATTGATGCAGCTTCTGCACAGAATCGTACATCTGCAATCTACATGGCATATGTAGGTCGCATGAAAACGACATATGCCAGTACTTCGAGCTGCGAGCTCTCTGGAGATGCAGCACATTCATCGATTCAGTTCACTGTCTGGTCCCGAATTCACAAGTCCAAGCTTCGGCTTCGGTGCTGTTTTTCCAAGCAGACCTCCTCGAGCAGGCGCAGGCATTCTAGTCGCTGCAGGTAAGAAGCTTTGTTGATGTAAAGAGCTCTTCTTGATTGGTTGCATGATGTGCTTCCGACTGATCTCGACTACTGAGACTCTGGTACTTTCTCTGACCTCCTCACCGGAGAAATGCAGTCAGTGAGGAGCCACGGAGGCGGAAGGCCAAGCTCTTCAGAACCTGGAAATTCAATGAAACTGCGAAAGGAAACGTCAACTTGGCATGCGGCTACGGCGTTGGTAGCAAGACCACGGGAGTACTGCGAATTCTGCACCAAGTCGCTGAAGCCCGCCACTGCGAGCGGCCTCTGCGACAGCCTGCAGCTCGTGCCATCTTGCAGACACTTTACGGACTTTTGACCCACGGCCTTCACACGTCCCTCATAGGGTTGGCCAGAACGGTCAAACACAACCATGGTGATGCCCTTCTCCAAGCCTTCAGGCAAAAGCTTCAGCCATGCCAATGCCGACCGCCTTCCCGCTTTATGCTGTCGTACTACATTTGGAGTGGGCCACGCATTCATCGACATTTCTGGGACACACCATTCCACAAGGCACCCTCATTCGCCCAGCCACGAGCTCACTCCACGCAGCCCTGATCAGCGCGGCATTACCTTCCGCTGTTCTCCCCTCCATCCTAAACCACCATGTCCACTACAAGCGTGCCGACCAGAACTCCTGCATCTCTCCCCGTTTATGCCGGACCTCACGAACCTCTGAACATGACTCTGTGCCATTTGCTGTTGTACATCCGGTCATCTGTGGACCAGGCATTGCTTTGCGACTTCTGCTCCTGTCGGAGGCAAGCACAATAAGCCTTTCCGAAGAGGCCTCGAACCGTCGCACTGGGTCCTATGATTTCTGCTGCGTCAACCGACCAGGTCTTCTCTTGTCCGGCATCGCAGCCTCGCATTCGCAGAGTCTCTGCAGCGTCCACGTGACGAAAGCGGAAGTTTGGGCGGCCTGGCCTTGCTTGGCGCGGATCTGCTCCAGGGAGCCGGTCTGTTTGGAAGTCACCTTCACATCGCATCGCCGCAGCACGTCACGAAAGGCCCGCGAACCACCAAGTGAGCCTCGCCTGGATCAACGTTACACCAGTACCAATCGTGTCGTCGATGACGCTGGCATGCCTCCAAAGTCCCCGCATCCACATCCCGCCCGCCGCAAATGCAAGTGAGCTCAGCCGAAGACATGTGCATCTTGGATCGAAAGACAGTCAGTCTGGGCCGCGCAGTGTTGCCCTCGACCTGCAAATTCGTCCAATTGAAACCACACACAGTCGAGTCAGCCATGCTCGAATAAATTGAATTGCAAGTGTATGCGCATGTGTGCGTGGATCTCTTCCTTGTTGACGGAAGGAAGAGGTCACTGCCACATGTCTCACTTTTCACGCTCATCGTTGTGCAGGGGACAGGGAATGCAGAGCGGCTCTGTCCAACGAACCACACTCCAAGCAATCATACAAGACCTGCACCCGAGCGTGGGCAGCTGGGGTGTGCTGCTCACTCGTTTCATCATCATCATCATCATCATCATCATCATCATCATCATCATCATATTCTCGTGTATCGTGCCACTTCCGTGCAGCTCTCTTGTGTTCCAGCTCATCAATCAAGTTATCAGCAAAATCAGTGTGCTTAAGTCAACCTTTCATGAGACGACTGCCCCAGCCTTCCGACGAATGTGGATGCGCCTTCTGTAACGGTGGACCCTTGGTACACATGTCTGTCTGACGAATAGCTGACAGCTTGCACAAAAAGCTCACAAGGGCGGAGGCCAGCGAATGCGCTCTGTCCAAGTGTGTGGGGAGCCGTTCCAGCCAGGGCCACCTTCTCATGATGAGACTATGCCACAAGCCCTAACGTGTTCGAGTCGCAGGCCAGGGTGACCAACACACATTAGTGGATCTGCCTTTGATGCGATATCCGAGACGTGGATGATCCCAGTCTGTTGGCTTGTTGGGTTTTCGTCCTCGGCTGCAGAGGTACATGCTGGGCAAGATGCTCATGAACGTGTGATCCTAACAAGAAGCATCCCGGGCTCACGGCGTCCCCATTTTGCCGCACATGTAACTCTGGACACCACCACAGGCAAGGTCAACACCGCACCTCAAAGACTACAGCTTTATATCGCTGGAACGATATACGGCTGGACAGGTACTTCGTGACTGCGAGTGTAGGTCTCTTGCACAAGCCCAGGAAGCCGAAGCCACTTCGGTCCTTAGGTTGGCGTCGCTTCAAGACGCGCAGTGCCCACATGTCCGCCAGCCAGGGTACGCGAGAGTCGTTGAATGCCTTCGAGAAGATTTCTTGCTTGCGGAAAAGTATTACCACAGCTACCATGCCTGGCCTGTTTAGTCAGCCGCTGGACTGGCCGTGGCACTGCAGGCCTGCTGGCGGCAACAGGCCTGACACAGAAATGCTGACATTGCAAACCCGCGAAGGTTGTCTGTGACGTGCATCGGGATGCAGACCGCACGGATGAATGTGCCGCTGGCGTGAGAAAAGCAGGACTCGACCACACCGGACCTCAGAGATGTAGCAGATTGTAAATCAATTCCTTTCGCTTGCAAGTCCCAGGCCCAAGCCAGTTCCAATGCATCTGACTGCCAGCAGCACGCTGGCAGTGCCGGCCTGACATCCAGTAATCCAGGCTGCGGGCTTCTGCTCTGAAGCGGCACACACACAAGTCCAAGCGCCCGACAAGGGCGAGAGCCAAGCGGGCCTTGGGATCAGAATTACTCCCCCACTTGACATTGACGAATTGTCCTCGAGGCATCGGCCATGCCTAACCCAACTCGGGAAAGGAGGGACCGGTCTGCTCCAGGGAGCCTGGAGCCTAGAGAGAGCCAATGCGCAAGCGAATTGAAGCAAGCAAGCGGCAAGCGCGGTCGAGCCAAGGAAACGCCCAAACTTTCAAGACAAGCACAATCAGGCGCACAGGAAACCTTTTCTGGGTTCTCCGAATGCACATTAGCTGCGAGCCCTTCTTGGGCACGTGGGACCTACTGTCACTAGAACTGGGCTGGAGCTGATGAAAACGATCTAAAGCCTGAGCAGCGACGCGACAACTTCTCTGCAGGGTCTGCAGATGTCTGCAGACAGGCGCCCTTTCCTTGGCTTGACAGCTCTGTGCAGCCGGAACGCCTAGGAGCTGCGGAGCGGAGTAGACTCGACGCATCGCAACCTCAGCTGAGGGGCTGAAGGAGGGGAGCTGAGAGTCTCAGCAAAGGGAACTCTGAACTCCGAGTTCCGAACGGAAGTTCTGGGACACGCTATGCCCGGCATCACTTGGGTGGCCTGCAGGGCTCTTCCGGCGCTCTCTGTCTCTGGCGACTTGGATACGGATCAATCCGGATCAGCCTCTTGGCCAAGATGCCCGGCTGATGCGCTCATCGATCCCTGCCAATTCTCACATGAAATCAAATCAAGTCCCAACTCGCAGCAATCTCCGGCCCTCGAGGCTGACGAAGGTGCTGGCCTCGCTGGACACGACAAACCAGAACTGCCACGGCTGTGGCTGGGGCTCAAACACGACCAGCAGTGAAACATACTGCTGTGGTACAGCAGGTCCTTCCGTGGATGCATGTGGATCCGTTACGTTTGCAGTTCGCCAAGCACTGCCAGTCCTCGTACACTTTGCAACGTGCCGTGAGTGTGAGGCATCTGCACTGGCGGGGCCTCTCGCTGCAATGTGAACAACTTCAGTTTTAGGCAGCTCAGCGAAGATGAAAGCGCGGCTGATGCTCTGATGCCCGAAGTTCCAGGTTCTGAAGACAACGACCAAGGCCCGTTTGTCAATGTCTATGCACACCCTTCCACGATCCAGCGGCTCTTGAAGACACAAACCTGCCAGACCGTGCGCGAGACGACCAGTGCCTGCGTGCATCCTTGAACGACAGGGATAAACCTCCCTGTGCCTGCAAGGGCAGAAGCATGCGAAGGGAAAAGTTCTGAACAACGGGTTGACAAGGCAAACTACACCGTCGCTTTCGGTGGCAGAATGCGGAGCGTGCAACCCGGAAAACCTTAAAGCAGCCCAAGACCAAGACCGGCGAAACGCGATGCACGTCAGGTCTTTTTTCCGGCAATGTGATGTGAGCCTATGCGGGGACGGAGGCAGACTGCAGGTGCGCCTGCATGCGTGTACAGGGGCTTTCGCAGCCAGGCTGGAAAGGCTTCCAAGCCCACCCTGGAAGTGAGAGATGCACGCGCCCGTCTGTTCGGGCATCATCATCGGTGCGCCAGCACGACAGACTTCGTTCAGCGATGTGACGTCCTATGCAAGGCCTTTATCAACCCTCTCACCAAGATCAGGAGAATTCTGACCGGACCCGACACAGATCACCTCTTCGCCAAAGCCGAGGTCTAAGGTGTCAGCCTTGAGCTAGAAGTTTGTTTAGTGCCTCCTCCGTCTTTTCGGCATCGAGACCGGTGATGTCTGACGTGTGCACGAAGTTTTGCGATCTGAGCCGAGGGTTCATCCTTAGCAGATCCATGTCATCGATGGCAATCCATGCATGCACATGCTCGGACTTGGCAGCTCTCATCTCGAGCCAGAGCAGGATTTCATCAACTCGGTCGCCCTTCGCGGATTTCTCCAGGTCGGGGGTGGAGCCATTCACGGATAGACCATACTGCAGAAAGAGATTCTCCAGCTGAGTTCTTTTGTGGTCAACCAAGCGCCAAGTAGAGGATAGAATAATCTTGGACTGGGTGTTGTCGATCAGAAACTTGAGATGCTCCATGATTTCCGTGGGCGGCACGTCGCTGTTTGCAGCCTCTCGGGATGTTCGGCTGTTGAGCACACCATCCACATCCAAGAATATGACTCTGGTTTGGCCAGCTAGTGCGGCCGTGGCCACGGAAATCAGGTCTTCTTCCTCTTCGGGCGAGGAGCACGGCTTTGCTTCAGCACCAGCTTCACCTCTGGAGTTGGTAGACGCCGTCACCTCGCTGCCGAGTTGCGCAGGGAGCGGCGGCAGCGGAGGAGGAGCTTTGCCTCTTATGTGGCGAATTACGTCCTGCCTTTCCATGTCCCTGGACGTGCAACGGTGAACCAGATGCTCAGAGCTACAAAGCACAGACCTGGACATTCGCTGTAGCCGAAAGGAACGAGAATCACGGAGACTGAGATTCATTGGCTCGCCACCCATCGATCAACAAGGCTCAAGGCACCGTGAAGTGCAGCACGTGCAGGGGAGATCTGAGCCTGGGCCGCCTGTCACAGCGTGGACAAGAGAAGAGTGCTCGGAATCTGTCACAAGTCCGACCGTCCTTGGGACTGTCTGTTTGCCGGATGGATCTGCTTGACCTGGCTTCGGTTGCGGCAAGCATGGACTCACGGTCAAGTTGCACACCCCGAGCCCAGCACAGCGGCTGACTTCGAGGGATGGTGCCGCTGGCCTCGCAACTTGGCAGGGATAGGCTGATACAATCTCATACACTCATGCTTCAAGTACTCGGTCATACTGCTCTCAGCTGTGGCTGCTCGGGTCCAAGGAAGGGGGAGCCAAGCCCTGCCTCTGCGGCACTGACCCGGTCTTCCAACAGGCGGCAATGCACCTGTGCGACATGGCGCCTTCTGCCCGTTCTGACTCCAGTTTACCCCATGCAAGCTCGGGTGCAGCACATCTAACCGGCGGCATTGCGATTCCAAAAAACGGCACTCGTCAAACCTTGGCATTGCACCACGCGTGCGCCGAAAGCAAAAACTATGGAAACCAAGCCTGCGCTGGTACTCCTGCTGCATCGGTTCGAGCTGAGACTTTAAGTCCTGTGGCATCAAAACTTCACACAAACGATGGAGAAACTGCGAAGTGCATCTGTTCATCGGCATGCCTTGTAGATCTCTCCAACGCTTTCCAGCTGCTTGCTGAGATTGTGAACCTACCAACGACAAGCGGCAAGCGCCTATTCCCAAGTCTGGCATGTATGTGCTCGCACAGCATCGGGCGCGAGCAGATCAACATTGCAACACAAATACATGTTTGCACCGGGCCGCCATGCTCTACTGCGCCGGGCCGAGAGTTCGACATACGAGCTTGAACAATGAAGTTCACCCTCTTCCCCAGAGACTCCTGACACAAGTGAGCAGTGGGGCCTCGCCTCCTCCGCCTTTAACAAGTATTATAACAATAGCTTGAAAATGGCGAAGCAAATATTCCGCTTGCCGGCGTACGGAATTCGTCACGTTGAAACACTCTCAAAATTTTCGCCCCCGGGGATGTATGGAAATCCTCATGGACGCCCTGTGCCGGGCGACTTGGACCGACAGTACCAACCCATCTGACCGCTCCGTCTTTCTCGCTGCAGCCACTCGTGAGCCAATTTGAGGTCTCTGAAGTCCCTGAAGATCTGGAGAGCCACTGACCCCCTTCCTGGCCTGCTGAATGGCAAGCTGCAGCTTGTCACCTCGGTAAGACAATCACGAACCGGAATCCTGCCAAAGCGCGTAGATTCTTTGTCTTGGCATGCGGCTCGGGGAGGCCGGGTTCGGGACCAGTTTGTCACTGCCTGCGAACAGCAAGACAGCATTTGTCAAAATCCTGGGTCCTACACTCCCACACGTCCAGAGCGTCACCACGAGAGGCCTTGGCTCCGAGGGCTAAGTTCGGGTTCCTGCGAGTCCGGCCTTAAGTCTCGCGAGATTCGCTCGAGCTGCATGGCCTACAGCTCTGGAAACAAAGTAGCCGACGCTTCCACGATTCTGTGCAACTGCATCGTGGATTTCATCCGCTGCAAGCGTGAACCTGAGCATCATGCGGCAGGTCTGACCGGACAAGGCAGGCATGTGAAGCTGAGGAAGACTGTCTCCGGAGTCTTTTCCGAGAGTGCAAGACCATCCGCGATGCAGGGCGGCTTCAGAGGCACGGAGTCTTCATGAGTCTTCTAAACGTCCGTACTGTATCGGCAGCTGATAAGCGAAGTGTCGGCAAATAATTCTGCGCAGGCTGGTTTGATGCAGCGCTACAGTCTGTTGGCTTTCGCCTCCCGACTTGCGTGAGAAAGCAACGAAAGTCCGGCACACGTTTTTTTTGGGCAAGCCCTGCAATGTGGAGCAAGACAAAAAGAAGGCCAGCTGCCGAGATTGGATGTGACTGTGGCACGTCTTGACATCTCGCTATCACGCAAGAAGAAGACACTTTTGGAAGCGTAGCGGCAGGCGGCGAAGTGCAAACGAAATCGCATTCCAGATCGAAACATCTCAGAAGTCGATCGGAGCGAATCGTTGCGTATCACCCCACCACTCCAATATGTAAGAATAGATACAGGGCGGTGTGGGCGGGCTGAAAATCTTTGCAAGCCTCGAGCGGGCAACAGCTGCGGTGTCTTGCTGTTGCCGCTCGTACATGTCACTACGTGCACACGTGCACTACACGACATCTCGCTATCACGCAAGAAGAAGACACTTTTGGAAGCGTACCGGCAGGCGGCGAAGTGCAAACGAAATCGCATTCCAGATCGAAACATCTCAGAAGTCGATCGGAGCGAATCGTTGCGTATCACCATAGGTGTGCCGCCTGCACCATTAAAGCACACCGGAAGCCCTAAACCTCTCAGAGCCCGTCAGTAGTTCTTCGAAGAGGCCGTCCCAGTCCCTCTGCAAGTCTGTCCAGCCTTCGGCTCGAGCGTGGCGCAGGTCTCCTCTGCTGACCGAGTCGCTCACGTTGGCGGAAGATGTCACTCTCTGCCACGCTGGTCGGAAGGAGTTCTCTTCAAGAAAACGCCATGCGTGTTGTAGCAAACAATTGATCGACTCGTCCTTGCCGAAGCCGCGCGTGAGCGCGTGGCGCGCTGGTTCATTGTCAACGAACAGCAAGACGTGGCGATCGAGTTGTTCTTGCATGGCGAACAGCGGGAGAATCTGGGCCACGATCTCCAACATGTAGATGTAAGCGCGACGGCTTGTGAATGCTCGCACGAACCAGTAAGGCACACGTCCGTGTGCGAAATAGGTCCGGCCCTGCACTGTGACGACAAAGCCCCATCCGTTCTTCAGTGTCTCCGGCGGCGTGCGTCCCCAGTTGGGTATGTCTTCGTCGGAGGGCTTCCAGTCCTTGTCGAAGAGGTTGAAGAACGCGTCGGCGTACAGCACGGAGTGCGCCTCCTTCTGAAAGGGAAAGGTCCTTGGTGGTGCGTGTCGTAAGCTCCATCGAAGGAGGCCGATGCCATGGCGAAGCTGTCCATCGAGTCGCCAATCTTGGTGTTGTCTCCCGGAACCTGTCAGTCGAGATCTGCGGAACAACGGTCGGAGCGCTGCTGCATGCGATCGTCCTCGAAGTGACTGGCAGTAGAACTGTAGCTTCCCTGCTAGACTCGCTGCTTCATGAGGTGGAAGGCGATCTTGCGTGAGCACGTCGGCGAGCGTCTCGTCGAGCCGTTGTCGGCGTTCTTCTGTACCCTGGACCGTGACGGAGTCGGCGCTGACGCTGATGCTGACGCCCTGAATGACCTGCTGTGAAGCGGGAGGCTGTTCCTTGGACTGCTTAAAAGAAAAACCCAAAGCCTTGCAGAGTCGTCGCGAGGCGTCGAAGGACGAGCGGGCGAGCTCCGTGACCTCAGCGCTGCTGAAATGGTCGACGAAATGAAGTGCGGGAGTGAATATGCATGCCCGGCATAACCACCCCATGAAGTCTCCTATTCTGCAGTACGACCATACGCTCGCCACTGACCCAAACATTAGGACAGTGCGGCGCCAGAGGGTCACTCCTTCGGGCGTAGCGAGGACCACGTAAGTGTGTGACGGGTCGAGCGCCGGGAGCTGCCTGTACGCGGCTTCGTGATCGAGGCCCCAGATGAAGATCTCTGCCTGCGGGTCGATCTCCTTGATTGCCCTGATCAGCTGTACGTAGGAGGCCACGTCGTGGTACGGCGGCGAGTCCTCGGCTGCGACCGTGGCGTTCGCGAAGGACCTTCGCCAGTCTTCTGCTCTTCGGACTTTGGGGCGGCCGTCGGAGCCGACCTGGTGCACTGCAAAGGCGAAGCAAGTTGGCTTGTGTTCGTCGGGGCCCCGAAGTAGCTGGCTAGTGTGAGAGTGCGAAGTGAGAGGCACTGCTGTCTTAGGCCAACATGTCGGGCTGGAGAAAGGACCCTCCATTCGGCCGAGCTCCACATCCGCTGCGATCTCGTCGGCCATCTGCCTCCAGCATGGGTCGACTCGGCATCGGCGAAGTTTGTCCACGACGTACTGCTTGTTCTTGTGTAGGAACTCCTGGAGGTCCAACGGGTTGGCGTAGCGCTCGTCGTTCCGTCGTTTCCACCCCAAGCCCGGGGCGAGTGGCCCAAGGAGGCGGAAACCTGTGGTGAGCTCGTCAAAGATGGCCCTGTCCTGCCAGCCGAACAACTCGCAGATGTGGCGAAGCGCGGGCAGCTGCAGGGTGCATACTCCGTGTTTGCTCCGGTATGCTTTCTGAACGTGCGGGCTTAGGCTCTGGTACCAACGCGTGGTCTCGTCTTCCAAGTCCAGTACGAGCTGCTCGACCTGGTCGACCACTGCGAGGCGGAGGTCCGCGAGGTGACTCCTCATGCGGGACCATATTCGGAGCCATTGCTGTAGGCCCGGTTCCATGTGAGCGTCGCGGTGGTCGGGATGCGGCATCTGTCGCGACAGTCTCCAATGTTCTGAAGGGGTCCTGCAGGTAGGACAGGTCAAAGGCGTCGTACTCGCCGGGTCCCGGGCCGAGGAGACCAGCACGGGTCAACCGGCCTTATATAGAAGGACGCTGGTGGTATAAGGACGCTGGCCCATATAAGGTCGATCGCATTTTTGCCTCTTGAATCAAAAAGTTTCACGGACGAACGAAACGGGATCAAAAGATTTCTGAGATGTGCAATTTGGCTTTGAAATGTTTGGATTGCACACCAGTGGCTACAAAAAAGTCGGGATCACGTACGAAATGGGCTACACACCCGAAGCAGTCATGAGCATCAGTGCGATCATGTTCGGTTTCTTTTAAGAATCTAGCTCCCAAATTGCAATTCCGGGGTCTGATTGTATAGCTCGAGGAGTGATTCGCCAAAATTTGGGGCAAGGGATCCACAATACATCCTTTGAAATGAACCTGTCGGGGGATTCAGTGTGACATCGGTGTTCTAATACTGTGCATTACTCGATTTATAATAGGATATTATAACAGGTGTGTTGCACGTTCGCGTGATGGCCAGCACTCACAGCCGGTACGCCTCGAAGATTCAGGCATACACCGAGTTTATCGTCGACGATGCAATCTTTAAAGATGTGCGCGTGTGTCTAAAATGGTGTTGATATTTGTATAGCGATAAAAAATATGGCTATATAGACGTATCTGTATATATATATACATATGTATACCACACATTGTGACATATAATTCGGAGAAATCAAGAATGTATATATATATATATATATGTAGCCATGGACTCCGGCCATCTGCATGCTGGAAGCTGGCGGGCGATGACGTGAGCACTGCTGCATCCGATCTGCATGCAGACGATCTATTTGTTTTACTGTCTCTGCCAGCGAAGTCCCATCTGCACAGTATATCGCAGCCGCACATTCTGTGACATATTGCGCACAGGAGATTTCGAAGCCAGACTCTTAATCCGACGGATAGCGTCTTCCCCAAGATAGTTGCTGAAGTATTTTGGGTTGCGGGGCCTCCAATCCAATATGCAGTGCTCCAATAAATGGAGTTTGGGCCTAAAGTGGTATCTCGGTAGCACTCGAGCTATTGCACTTCGTGCAAGCTCGTTGTACGCAAAACGAAGCAT